GGAGGATGAGGGCCCCATAATGCCATCTAATAGAAAAGTAGATGACAAGATGTACCGTTATCGTGTCGTCGATTTTCTCATGGCCTGTTTTGTTGGTTTTTACATTTTCTGAAAAATGTCTTCGTTTATTTGTTTTTCCTATATTATGGTGCACGGTTCTTTATGTAGTCTGTTTAAATTTAACCACAACACTCCAATTAACTATTTCATTTCCACATAAACACCATGTTCGCTGTTCGCCCACCCTTGAGGATCTCGTGATCTAGAGGGTAAGGTGTTTGCCTCTCACTAAATAGGTGCTGGGTTCGAAACCTGACAGCGACAGAAAATTTTCTTTTCTAAAATGTTCTCCTTTCCTCTCCTCTCCTTTCCTGCTCTCTGACAATGTTCTGTGACTCTGTCGTCTGCTTTCGTCGCCAATTTCTGCCCCCGACCCTTTGGCCCGTCCTCTGGGCTCCGGACTCTTTCTGCAGTCTTTCTACTGCTACTCCTTTGCTCCTGCTTACGGCTGTCTTTCAGCCGTACCCCTGACCTTAGGGTAGGTAAGATCTAACACCTAGCCTCTCGGAAAAAGCAAAAAATCTCAGGGGTCGTGTGTGCAAGTTAGGCACGTTAAAGATCCTCTGTGGTATAAAATCGGTAAGGGCAAGGCAGGGGTGAAGGCTGACTTGTTTGACAGGGTAATCAAAGTGAAACGTGACCAGATATGGCCTGTAGATATCACACAAAAATCTTACCTGAGGCGGCATCTCTGAGCTGTGAATGAAAACAAATTCGGAATTCATAGTGTATGTTCAACCGCCAAAATGATCGGGAAAGTATCTTATTAAATTTCAATTCCAACTAAAATCAAGTTTAACTTTAGATGTGAATACACAAACACAAAGCAAAGAATCAGAGAAGTCAGTACTAGATCTATAGATCTACCAGTGAGTCTAACTCTTTGGTAGAACATGACAATTATATTTTTTTAAATTTCACATTTGGCTGTTTTTGTCTAGCCTTTCGCGGCCAGGAGCTGGTGTCATAATCGAGGTCACGATCTGATTATAGGACGGTAAAAAGTCGAGGAAAAAGAACAAGCACTTGCAGCAGTCAAGAAATTATTAGGAGTTAGTTCCCCTCACATTTGTGAGGTAGACTCGACCAGTGT